GTCAGTGGGAGGGAATAGTGCCCCCATCATTGGTGTCAGTGGGGGAATAGTGCCCCATCACTGTGTGCCAGTGGGAGGCATAGTGCCCCATCACTGGTGCCAGTGGGGGGGGAATAGTGCCCCATCACTGGTGCCAGTGGGGGGAATAGTGCCCCATCACTGGTGCCAGTGGGGGGAATAGTGCCCCATCACTGGTGCCAGTGGGGGAATAGTGCCCCATCACTGGTGCCAGTGGGGGGAATAGTGCCCCATCACTGGTGCAGTGGGGGGAATAGTGCCCCATCACTGTGTCAGTGGCAGGAATAGTGTCCCATCACTGGTGTCAGTGGAGGAAAAGTGTCCCATCACTGGTGTCAGTGGGGGAAAAGTACCCCAACACTGGTGTCAGTGTGAGGAGGAATCGTACCTCATCCTTGGTGTCAGTGGAGGGAGGAATAGTGCCCCATCGTTAGATGTCATTTTGGGGAGAAATCGTGCCTCATCGTTGGTGTCAGTGGGGGGAGAATAGTGCCCCATCGTTGGTGTCAGTGGGAGGAATAGTGCCCCATCGTTGTGTCAGTGGGAGAATAGTGCCCCATCGTTGGTTCAGTGGGGGGAGGAATAGTGCCCCATCGTTGGTGTCAGTGGGAGGAATAGTGCCCCATCGTTGGTGTCAGTGGGAGGAAATAGTGCCCATCATTTGTGTCAGTGGGAGGAATAGTGCCCCATCGTTGGTGTCAGTGGTGAGGAATAGTGCCCCATCATTGGTATTAGTGACACCAATGATTGGGCACTATTCCTCCCACTGACACCAATGATACTTACCTTGCTGACCCACCCTGCTCCAGCCTGGGCTCGCTCGCTTGCTCCCTTCCTCTCCCATGGTAGAGAAACTTACCGGTCAGCTGTCTTCCTTCTCCGGCCGCTCTCCTCCTCTTCACTCGCTCGATCTTCGCGGTGCCGCTCGGCTCCTCCTCTCCAAGCTCCACCTCCTTGCCGGTGATTGGCCGCCTGTGTGCCTCTCCTGAGTTACAGTTTTCGGTTGCCAATCAAAGGCGAGGATTGATCCGGGGGGGGGGCGGGGGGGGGGTGTCCAGATGACAGGGGCGGCATGTCATCCCGCCCACACCTGGAGACGGATAGAGGAGCGGTGTCTCGGTTCCTAAGACCATCGGAAATATGTGTTTTCCGATGGTCTTAGGCGACCCCTGGGAAATGGTCGTTCGACCCCCAAAGGGGTCGCGACCCCCAGGTTGAGAACCGCTGCTCTAGAGGAACCCAACCCTCTAGAGGAACCCAACCTCTGGAAGAACCCTGGTTGAGAAACCCTGTTTTACATTAAACTTAAAGCAGACTTTCACCAAAAAGGGAAATTCCACTTGCTTGCATCCTACCTCCTCTTTAACATATGGCACTTTTTGGAGGGGGGGGGGGCAGCGGGTATCTGGTTTTGACAAGTACCTCCTTCACTTCCAGTTAGATCTGAGTGAAAGTTCGGCCCCCTCCTTCCCCTGCAGCCTTCTGGGGCACATCACAGGTCCCAGAAGACTGTGGGACCATTCAAAAACACAGCACAGCTTGCACGCATGGCAAAGCTTCACTGCCGGTTTCCTTTAGTTAAGATGCTGGCGCCTGGACCTGAAGCCAATTGAAGAATCGGCTCAGGTGAGGACAGTGCTGGATCCCTGGACAGGTAACTGTAGCTTCTGACTTTTAGGGCTGGTTAACACTTTAGAAACACAGTACAGATGCGCCTTTTTGACGCATTCTGGTGCGTTTTTGATATGTTCCAGTGTATTTTTATACATTCCAGTTAATTTTTTCTTCAATTTAAATAGGGACATGTGCGTTCCAATTTTTGCATTTTGGTGCGTTCAGGTGTGGTTTTAATGTGTTTTACTGCGTTCCAGTACAGTTTGGGGCAGAAAAAATGCAGCCTGTTCTACTTTTTTTCTGCAACCGAAACACACTGGAACTGCAAGCACTGATGTGAACTATGACATTGACAACCATATAATCTACTTTCTTTGCATTTTGGATGCAGAAAAAAAGCAACTGAAACGCATGTAGTGTGAATTGGCCCCTACTGGTTTTTTTTGGGAGGGGGGAGACTGAAGTTCTTCTTTAACATGTATGCATGATATAACTGGAAGTTGATATATAAACATATCATGAAGAATGCCCAGGCAAACAGAAAAATCCTAAAAAAAAAATTATATGAAAAAAAGGTACACATGACAAAACATTACAAAAGGTATAGAAAATGTAAAATGTTATGCAAAAATGGGGCGAAGCTTGTTTCCACTGTACAGCTTTGCTGCAGCTGAATTTACAATCAAATTACAGACAGATCTGTGATCCGTGGTGACGTGCACCAGCATTGTTTTATTCCAGCAAAATATTACACTGTTGCAATGGGTAATTGATGTAACAAGCAGACCAGAGGCTTTTACAGCCAGTACGGCTAAAGCTTGGTACAGATGATGAGATTATCGGACAAATGATTGTCCTTTTTTTTTTTTTGCATGCTAGTCTCCATATCGAAAATTAAAAGGTTACTAAATTCACAAAAAAACTCGTATTACAGAATAAAAATTCAGAAGAGATGTAATGAATTGTATTGTATTTGTATTGTATTTTCAGACGAAAAGTGTACTGATTAAATAAGAATCGTATGATCTGGTGTCATACTAGAAACATTTTTGCGCTTGTTCCATCGGATCATTTCACATGGCCTGTCCTGATCAGGTCTGGAAAGATCAGATTATCATACGATCGCTTCAAAAGCGGGATTTTTCATAGGATTTTCTGATCATGTGTACAGGCCTTATAGTATATTCACACCAGATGCAGTGGGACTGCATTGGTCAGCTATTCCAGTGCAGTCTCACCGCACAGACAAAGCAAAACGCCTTGTCTCTTATGTGCCTGGTTGCCACCACTGTGTTGTGGTGGTATGCACACAATATGCGCTGAAAAAATTTATTGTATGTACTACTTTGTGACATCTCAGTAAAGGTTGTGTAAAAAAAAAAAGGAAACAAATGGATTGCCGAGCTCAGCGCATCTTCACTGTGCTGATCTCTGCCGGATTGCATTACAGAAGTTGATGGGAACAAACCGTAAGTTCGCGTTATTGCGTGCCAGGAGCAAGTGCCAGGGGCATTCCTAGGGTTGGTGTCACCCCCTCCAACGATCCCCGCAGAATGGACCGGACCTGCGGATTGAGCATAATGGATCGGACTCCGATCCATTATGCTCAATCCGCAGATCTGATCCATCCTGCGGGGATCGTTGCTTTACAACTTACCTTTTCGTGGAGCGGGTCCGGTGTCACCCCATATAGGTTGCATGCCGATGATCCCCGCAGGATGGATCAGATCTGCGGATTGAGCATAATGGATCGGACTCCGATCCATTATGCTCAATCCGCAGATCCCATCCATCCTGCGGGGATTGTCGGCATGCAACCTATATGGAGTGACACTGGACCTGCTCCACGAAAAGGTAAGTTGTAAAGCAAGCCGATGATCCCAGCAGGATGGATCGAATCTGCGGATTGGGGAGCATAATGGATCAGACTCCGATTCATTATGCTCAATCCGCAGATCCGATCCATTCTGCGGGGATCGTCGGCTTGCTTTACAACTTATCTTTTTGTTGAGCGGGTCCGGTGTTACCCCGTGCGGTAGGTGTCACCCGGTGTAGCGCGCACCCCCCCGCACCTGTCTAGGGACACCCCTGGCAAGCGCACAACCACGCTCTTTCCCAACACACAAGAGAAATGCACTGCTGTTTAGCAGACACGCAGGGGTGCCATCCATTTTTAATAGCACCCAAAAGGCCACGTTTTTGCGATTTTGTGATGCATGATTTTCAAAGAGGATCCAGGACTTCTTTCCCTACGTTTCTTTCTAGTAGGTTGGCCCACTGAAATAAATGGGCTGCCCTGCCTGCAGAACTCAGCCTGCATAAGTGTGCAACAGGACTAAGCATGGGCAGTGGCGTCCCTATGGGGGTGCAGAAGCAGGATGCCGCACAGAGACAGCTGCCCCTGCCTCGGTGTAGCTGTAAAATGAGTATCCCCTGAAGCAACTGCGCATGTGCCGGTTTCAGGTCATTTTAACGCTACACCGGCACCGCTCCTTCCTCTCTGGAGGGGTGACACCACGTGTTACTGCATCGGGTGACACCAACCCTAGGGACGCCTCTAAGGATGGGTATAGTGTGTTTCGTTCAGCCAGGGTTAGCCATTTTAGCTCAACCACAAACACCAGCTCAAACTGATTATCCAGCTTGTACTTGAGGGTGAGGGAGTCATGGGTGAAGGAAATGTTCCCGCCTCGCTCCGACACCAGCTGAGACACGCCAGAGAAACACTGCCAGCCGTCACTTCCATCTGTGCCAGGGGGAGGTGCACTTAAGCGCCGTTCCATAGCAGATATACTTCTACAGGGCATTTCCGCCATGCAAAATCACATATATATATATATATATATATATATATAAACAGTATATTCATGATTTTGAAATTTCTGCCCTACCCGCGCCACTATTGGCTGCTGGATATGTCAATCACTGGGTCCCGGCCTCACTGGAGATGTAAGTGGCAGTTAGTCACTTCCCTCCCAGTGTCAGAATGCTCACCGCAGTGCCGCAGTCCCACTATAAGTCGCTGATCATCGCCATTACTAGTATGAAAATTACAAAATAATAATCCCAGTATATACAGTATGCTTCCATTTGTAGATGCTATAACTTTCACATAAACCAGTTAATATACACTTATTGGGATTTTTTTTTAGCAAAGACATGGAGTAGAATACATTTTGACCTACATTTATGAAGAAATTTTATTTAGTAACACTATTTTGTTTAGTAACACTTTAACAGCCATGGACACTGTTAAAGTGTTACTAAACCCACAACAGTAAAATCAGTCTGTATATGCAGTAAAGCATGCTTGTTATACTCACTGTTGAACCCAATGGGTTAATCCTCTGCATTGTGTAAAAATGCTGTTTGATCCTGACTTCTCTGATCCTCCCCTTCTTCCAGTGTCCCCCACTTATCTCCTGATAAGACATATTGTGTGGAGTCACTCTGCACATGTTCAGCTTGGTGTATATTGCTAGAGAGTTTTTTTTTTTCCTTGGGAGAGTGCATGTGATCAGCACAGGGCCAATCAGCACTGTCCAGAGGCAGAGGCTCTGCATCTTCCTAGAGCAGAATGAAAACTCCTCCTACAAACTTTAACCAGTGCTGTGCTGGACGCTGATAGAAGTCACAAAACTGCTATATACTGCTGATGAGAAAAGTTATTTAGCAGTTTATGTTTACTGAAATAATCACATTTCCATGTTCTGTGTACCGTGGGAGACCAGATATAGTGAATGCAGGGTCTTGGGTTTAGTAACACTTTAAATGCTGCACTACATAACGGCCCTCAACGCATCTGTCGGAATAGCCCAATTCATTTTAATTAGGTGCACAGAACTGGACTCTGCACAAATCTGTATGCAGTGTGTTTTTATATCCCATGTGAACAAAGCCTTGCTATTCAACACTTCTATATATTGTTAAATATCATATATACCAGAAATCTTTAGATAACACATAAGTAAATGAAGACAATTATTTTGCACATCTTGGAAGACATAGTAAATAGTCTACTTTTTTGATTTGCAGTTTGAGTTGTAATAGCATTGAGGATGTGGGTGCAGACAGGCTTGCTGCAGTGCTGCCCAGGCTGAAAAAATTGAAGAAAATCAGGTAAGATCTGTTCTGATGAACTGTATTCTCTAATTTTGATGAACTGTAAATAAATGACTATTTTTCTATATAACCTGAATAATAAACAACTATTTTTGTGTATAACAATTCCTCCATGCTTAGGGAATAATTCTGGCATGTAATCATCTAAATGTAAAGTGTTACTAAACCCACAACAGTAAAATCAATCTTTATATGCAGTAAAGCATGCTTGTTATACTCACTGTGGAACTTAAGGGGTTAATCCCTGGCATTGTTTACAAAGGATGTTAATCCTCTCTTCTCTGATCCTCCTCTTCTTCCATTATCTCCAACTCATCTGCTAATAGAACAGAGCCTTGGGAGCAAGCTGCACATGCTCAGTTTGGTGTTTATTGCTAGAGATTTTTTTTTTTGGGAGAGTGCATGTGATCAGCACAGAGCCAACCAGCACTGTCCAGACAAAGGTCAGAGGTTCTGCATTTCCTAGAGCAAAATGAAAACTCCTCCTACAAGCTTTAAGCAGTGCTCTGCTGGACACTGATAGAAGCCACAAGACTGATCTAACTGCTGATGAGAAAAGGTTTTTAGCAGTTTCTGTTTACTAAAATAATTGCAATTCCATGTTCTGTGTGCTGTGGGAGACCAGATATAATGAATGCAGGTTCCTGGGTTTAGGAACACTTTAAGCATTGCTTGTAATTACCAAATTGTTATGGACAATACTGGAATTATAAATTGGCTGCATCGTCATTGGAAGTACTGTATATCCTTGTTGAAATTGTTTATTACCTAATCATTGTTGCCATACTCTTTCCACCATGGAAAAGACAGTGATGGTCCTTTCTTTGCATTTGTGCTAGAGCTCAAAATCTTCCAAAATATGGAGAAAGGTTGCTGTGGTACTGGTCAGAGGTGTCACTAGGGTTGGTGTCACCTGGTGTGTGGTGTCACCCTGGTCCCAGCTCTGTGTTGGGAGACAGAAGGATGTCCTGTGTGATGTGTGATGCAGAGGGGTGGGCTCTGGGCGGGGACATTACCATTCGTGGACTGACATGTAAAGTAGGAGCATCCAATCAGAGGGTGGGGGTGGAGCTCCGCTCCGGTGTACGGGGGACAGGTTGGGTGTGAATCGGACACCCCCCTTTGGGTCCCGACATCTCACCCCCCACATGGCACTGCTGTTCCTGGGGCTGCAGGAGGGATGAGGAGCTCTGTTATCCGGGGAGAGGACAGTGGACACTCTGCTCGGATGGATGACAGCCAGTGACAGCTCTCCTTTTCATCTTGGTGTCACCCCCTGTGATGGTGTCACCCGGTGTGGCCCACACCCCCCCGCACCCCCCTAGTGAACCCACTGGTACCGGTGGCTTTAGATCAGATGACATTCTCCGTATCCACTTACTTTTGGCCAGATAGGACACCTGCTGGGATCAGGAGGAGAGGACCCCTTCTGACAATCTGACACCAAAACTGTCATCTGCTTAGGCAGGCCATATTATGCAATTTTCTTTCCTTCAACCACAAGTTAAAGGAAAGATAATTTCTCATTTCCCCCATCAACATTGACTGTGAATCACTCCTGCTGCTCTATTTTATTCTGACAGTGGAAGGTTTCTCAGCCATCAGAATACAATGATCACTCCTGACGGCTACAGCTGCTGGCAGTGGTTGAACAAAAAAAGCTGATAGGCTGGTTGTATTAAGGTCAATCAATAGCTCAACTTCAGTAAAATTAGCCTGCCCATAGATGGATCGCAATTCGTCAGGTTCTCTAGGAATTTTGATCTATCTATTGCCGGCCTTAGGGAATTGTGGCCAGTTTCTGATGAACAGGATAAAAGTCACTCAGTGTGTGGCCCTGTTGGTCGCCTCTCGCCTGACATTCCTTGATTGAAAAAAATTAAAGGACCCAGGTGGAAAATTGTCAGCCAAACAGCATTTGATTCCAATCAGATTGCACATACTGTTCAGATATTTTGATAATTGGCAGGAACGGCTGTCAGAATACAATGGCAGCAACGGGAGATTCGTCTAGCCATGCTGTACAGCATGGATGAGGGAATCAGTTAGATTTCTGCCTGACATGCAGGTTATGCACCCAGAAAAATTATATAGAGGACCTTAACTCTACCACAGACACTGGAGTGGTGGGATAAACATGGTGGTAGACGGGAATTTTATGAAATCAGTGGGTCTGTGTGCAAGATCAGAAGTTGGGCCCCATTGATTCATAAACAAAATAAAATGTGGTGTACTTAAAGTGTTACTAAACCCACAACAGTAAAATCAGTCTGTATATGCAGTAAAGCATGCTTGTTATACTCACTGTGGAATCTAAGGGGTTAATCCTTTGCATTGTGTAAAAAGGTCATTTAATCCTTTCTTCTCTGTTCCTCCCCTTTTTCAAACAACCACTTCTTATCTCCTGATAAGGCAGACTGAACCGTAGGCATTTGCAAATGCTCAGTTTGGTGTGTATTGCTAGAGAGGTTTTTTTTTTCCTTGGGAGAGTGCCTGTGATTAGCACAGGGCCATTCAGCACTGGTTAGACAGAGGTCAGGCGTTTTGCATCCTCTTAGAGCAGAAAGAAAACTTCTTATCAGCTTTAGCTAGTGCTGGGCTGGGCACTGATAGAAGCCACAATACTGTTTTAACTTCTGGTGAGAAAAGGTATTTAGCAGTTTATATTTACTAAAATAATTGCACTTCCATGTTCTGTGTACTGTGGGACACCAGATATAGTCGATGCAGGAAATAGTTGCTAGGAAATAGTCGATGCAGGGTCCTGGGTTTAGTAACACTTTAACTTTGGATGCCATAGTGAAGAGTGAGCATGGTTTTTATTCTGCCAGGGCTGTTGCCAGGATTGTAAAAAACCTGGGGCACCTTTGGGAACTTCAAGTAGCAAAGTAATGCGACACGCATAACGTGCCAAGGCAAACAGTGGGTATGGCCATATTGTAATAATGGTGGGAGGGGAGTAATCGGTGTGGTTAAATAAAACAATCCCGAGTATAATCTTCCCCAGGCTGGTCTGTTCCCTAGTGCAATCCCTCCCTCCCAGGTCCCCCCAGGTCAATCTGTTCCCCAGTATAATTGCCCCCCAGGTCAGTCTGCCCCCAGTATAATCCTCTTCCCCCAGGTCAGTCTGTCCCCAGTATAATCCTCTCCTCAGGTCAGTCTGCCCCCAGTATAATCCTCACTCCCCTGGTCAGTCTGTTCCCAGTATAATCCTCTCCCCCGGTCAGTCTTTCCCCAGTATATAATCCTCTCCCCCGGTCAGTCTGTCCCCAGTATAATCCTCTCCCCAGGTCAGTCTGCCCCCAGTATAATCATCTCTCCCCCGGTCAGTCTGTCCCCAGTATAATCCTCTCCCCAGGTCAGTCTGCCCCCAGTATAATCCTCTCCCCAGGTCAGTTTTTTCCCAGTATAATCCTCTCCCCAGGTCAGCCTGTCCCCAGTATAATCCTCTCCGCAGGTCAGTCTGTCCCCAGTATAATCCTCTCCCCAGGTCGGTCTGTTCCTCAGTATACTCCTTCCAAGCCCCCCTCAGGTCAATCTGTCCCCCAGTACACTCCCCCAGATCAGTCAGACTGACCTAGGGAGATTGTACTGAGGGACAGACTGACAGTCTGTCCCCCAGTAAAATTCCCCCCCCCCAAAGTCAATCTGTCACCCAGTATAATCCCTCCCCCCACGTCAGTCTGTCTCCCAATATAAACCCCACTCCCCCAGATCAGTCTGTCCCCAGTATACAATCCCCCAGGTCAATCAGACTGACTGAGGGCGATTCTACTGAGGGACAGACTGACCCCCAGTACAATCCCTGCAATAGTTGATTCTTTTAGGCCCAGGAATAGTTGCGCAAATGTTTCACTAAAATTCACTAAAATCATTATTAGCACACATAACATAACATAGCTTACAAAATTCCTTTTAAACTCCTACTAAGGCCTCGCTCACGTGGGGTATACTAAATTGTACACCTATTTGAGGGCTGTGTTTATGAGCCAAGGGATGCCCAGTGTTCATGTAGTCCCATTCATATCAACTGGGGTGCATCTGGTGCATGGACACAGTTGCCTCTACTAATCTGACATCTATGTGGGTGCAGGTGCACAGCCCAAATGTAGACAGTGTTCAGAGACATGCGCCCGCACGGATATCAAATCAGCAGCAGCTGCAGCTGTGTCTGTGCACCTGATGCTTCCCCATTGACATGAATAGGACTGCCTGCATGGGGATGCACAGAACACCTGTTCCTCCCCTGTGTGGGTAAACAGCCTTGCATGGGTGTGCGCTGTAGTATACCTTATGTGAACGAGACCCTACTATGTTTTTTGTTTTTTAAATAATGTTATTCTTTACTCTTTTACTGTTTTTTTTTTAGGGGAGGAGGGAGCATGGGGGCATTGGTGAAACATCATTGGTCTAAACAGCCCTCTTGATATCTCTTTTTTGATACAGAGAAAGGGGCTGAGGACAGAGTCCTTAGTGCCTTTCTCTGCAGCTTGAGCTGCACTGCATATGAATGAATAGAAGCTCCTATTCCTTCACAAACCGAAGCATAGCAAACACCGTTTACTATGCTTCAGTGATGAATGGACACATGAACGATCGATACTGATTGCTCACTGTGTTCATTCAGGAAGAGGATGGTAAACATGACATGTTACAACCCAATTCCAAGAACTCTAAAAATTCTCCTTTGTGGTAGGGATGTATCTACACTGCTTATTTAGTCTAGGGGACAGCAATGGCATTTTTACCTATCCAATCCTTTGCTCCCCTGGCAGATGACACTCCCCCATACTCTGGTGGTGGACTGTCACTTGGCATCTTCATGTCCAGTGCATGCGGGAGAAGAGGCTGTAGGAACCAGCGTAGTGCAGAGGAGCCTGCAGGAGCAGAGGATCGAGATGGTAAATCTGCTTTTCCAAATCCCCTTGACAGAAACAAGCACTTAATCCTCCCACTGCGCAGGTGCAGCCCCACCGCAATGGAGTTCAGCTTTAAAGAAAGCACATATTTACAGTTACTGGATTTGGTTAATTCTGCTTAATGCATTTCTTTTCATTTTACAGTATTTCCCAGAGTAAAATGAGCTCACTGGGAGGGTTAACAATGATCAAAGCCTTTGGACAGTGTCAGTGCTTGGAAGACATCAAGTAAGTTGTTGATGATTTATAACAAATGAAGGTATCACACAGTAGGGTGAAGATATGGAAACATTCTCAATTAATCGGTGCAAGAAAGACTAGTGAGGTGCAATGAACTATAACTAGACATGTGCAAAACAAAAAAAATCCATTTCGTTTCAATTCGAAATCTAGCAAATTTTGTGTAGTTGGATTTGATAAATTCGTTCAATTCGTTTTCAGGATTCATTTTGGTAATTCGAATTAAATTCAAAAACATTTTGGCCAAATTTGAAAAGTCGTTCACATTCGAAATTGATTCAACCGAATTCGAAATCAATTCAACAAATTTCGAAAAGTCATTTGAAATCGAAAAGATTTCAACCAAATTCGAAAAAATTCGACTGAGTTCGAAAAGTTAAGCTAAGTTAATAAAAAAAAATAAAAGTCAACAACTACAAAAACTG